TGCCTGCTCTTCCAAAGGTCCTGAGTTCAATTCCCGGCAACCACATGGTGGCTCACAATCATCTGTAATGAGGTCTGGTGCCCTCTTCTGGCCTGCAGACATACACACAGACAGAATATTGTATACATAATAAATAAATATTTAAAAAACAAGTTAAGTGGAGCAGTAAATAGGACTATAAGGTTGTTGGTCATGTGGCCTAAGGAGCCTAGAGGCCTCTTCTCCAGGGAACAGTGGTGAGTTTTTTGAGATAGGGTCTTTTTTTATTATGCATGTCTGGTTGTCCTGGAACTCACTATGTAGATCAGGCTGGCCTGAAACTCAGAGACCAAACTGCCTCTGCCAAGGTCTGTGAGGGATTAGAGGTGTGTGCCACCACACTCTGTACTCACCTCTTTTATTGCATTGTTTGTATATATGCAGAGGTCAGAGAACAACTTGTGGGAGTTGGTTATCTGGGATTAACAGGGTCAAACTGGCTCATATTCAGGCTGTCCGGATGGGCAACAAATTGTCTTCTTTACCCACTAAACCACCTTGCCAGCCCTGGTAGGGGTTGAACTCAGGCTTCCTTGTGCTCCTTGTTGTGCTAATGTACTGTGCCAGCTTCTGTTTTTTTTTTTTTTTTTTTTTTTTTTTTTTTGACAGCCTCATTAAGTCACTCGAGCTGGCCTAGAACTCACACTGTAGCCCAGAAGTCCTCCAACTGCCTCCGTTGCAGCTGGGAGCACAAGTCTGTGCTACTCTAGGCCCAGCTGCAGCGTGGTCCTTGACCTTCACCAGAGATAGGATGAGCGAGCAAGTTGGGCTGGAGCTGGAGCTAAGATGGTAGAGTACCTGCCTAGCCTGTGTACAGCCTCAGGTTCCCGCATAACCATGAGCTGGTCGCAGTGGCACACTCCTCTGATTCCAGCACTGAGAAGATTAAGACTATCAAAAGTTCAAGGCCAACCTTTTCAATATCGAAAGTTGAAGGCTCACAACTTGGGATACAAGAGGCTTAAAGTAGCTACTGATTATTCTAGACTACTAGTTTCGCTGGTCAGTTTCAGTTCATTCTTGCACAGGATGTAATTTTACACGTATTTCTACTGACCTTTTCCACCCAGGTACTAAGGACTGAACACAGACTCACATTGTGCTACACACACACACACATATAAAATTATCAACATTTTGACACCTAATATATTGATTTTCCTTCCACTTAATGCTCAATTTTCTGATTTTCAGTATCAATTGGTATCTTATAATTCAATTCTGATACTATCCAATTAGCACAGGCCTTAAGTTAAGGACTTAAGTCCACAAGACCATCTGACTTCAGAGAACAGTCCTGAAGTTCAGTGATTTGTTGTCTTAGCTCACAGAACTCAATAAAGAAATTTATTACTGCCTTATTATATATAATAAACACAACTGGCTGGGAAAACGCAAATGGATCCCAGTATTTATGAATGCCAAGACAGGAGACTTACCAAGTTGGATGACAGCCAGGGCTATAAGTGATATCCTACATAAAGACCTATACTCCCAAAAAGGAGGCCTGAAATTCCAATGGATTGGGAGAGATTACATTTTTACCCATCACAGCAACCGTTTTATCTTTATTAAACTGAATGTTTACTTTCAGGAGGCCCGCTTTGCTTATGTAGACACTTTACACTAAATGAGTCTTGAAATTTCTTGATTCAGTTATATTAATTCAGATTGTATATATGTTTTCCTTCTATAGACCTTTGACATGCTGTTACTGATGTCCCTGCACCTCTGTAGGGTGTACCTCTAGAGGGTGTAGACTTAGTTTTGGTGGTCTTCTCCCCAGGGTCATTACTGTGGTAAGGAGACTCAGTTCG